GTGTGTGTGTGTGTGTGTGTGTGTGTGTGTGTGTGTGTGTGTGTATGAGAGAGAGAGAGATATGCCGAGAGGGGAGACAGAGACAGTGAGAGGGAGAGACTGAGAGGAATTTTTTCCTGTTTGGAAAACTAGCACACGTATTTTTCTACTAGCAGGGAAACAAATCAAGAGAGGTTTTGTTTTGGGTTCTGTTTTTTTCCTTGTAGCCACACATGTGTGAGCACACAGGGAGTTTCCTTCTTTCCCAGCATGTTTTCATATTGTGGGTGCCATCTCAGAGAGATGGGAGCTGTTTTTCTGGTGATGGAAAGCATTTGCGGGAGAACCAGGGTGAGGGGAGAACAGTTTGTGCTCAAAGGCCCGCGTCCTGCGAGCTGAGAGTCACTAAGTGTTGGTGGTTCAAGTGGTGCACGCTTAGTGGGAAAAGAGACAGTCTGCCCTTGTGTGTGTGTGTGCGAGTGTGCACGTAGTGTTTGGTGTTCATTTTCTGGCGTGGAGGTGATACAGGCATTTTTCTGCCTGCAGGAAGAAACGGTCTGATACATTGAGATCACACACACACACATACACACACACACTTCTCTGAGTGTGGAACATAGGTGAGAGTGAGGTTTTATTTAGTGGGGGAGGATGTATTTCTGCCCAGTGATTTTTTAAAATATGACTTTTCTGAGTGAAAATGAGATCTTTTTTTTTTTTTTTTGCTTAGAGATACACATGCACTTAATTTTATGCAAGCCAAGAAATAGTGTGTTTGTTTTGCAGGTAGTACAAACATAGAGAAGAGCCACACTTATGCCTCTGCACGTGTGTTTGTGTGTGTGTTTGGGGGGGTGGTATTTTTATCTTTCTTGAAAAGGAGCAGCTCAGGGTTGGGGGTACAGCTCAGTAGCACAGAGCAAGCCTAACACTGCTCGTCCCCAGCACCACAAAAGAAAAAAAAAAGGAACAGATATTTTTCTGCTTCCAGGAGTCAGCTCAAGTCCTAGTCGCCTTTTTCTGCTTATAATCACAAACACAAACACAGTTGCCTTCCGGCCACATGTGTGTGTGTGTGTTTGTTTGTGTGCACATGCATACATGTGCGTGTGTGAGAGATTTTTTTTTTGCCAGCGGCAAAGCTTTAGAGAGACACTTTTATGAAAGACAAAGAACATTTTCTGTCTGGAAACGCGTGTCGTTGCCTTTGCAGTGGTGGAGAGGGGAGGCCTCCCGCCGGGTGTGTGACAGACAGACAGACCAGATGCAATCACGTTTTTCTGCCTGGAAAAGGACGCTTAATTCTTGGCTTGCAAAAAGGCAGACTGAAAGGGAGCCATTTCACAGTCCCCCTCACACACCTCGCTTCCCAGTGTGGCCAGAGAGCTGGAGTGGCATGGAACTCCCCCCCAGGTGCCCCTGCTTGTGTGGGGACTGTTCCCCTAGTGATGAGGTTCTTGGAGGACCGGGCTCAGGAGCAGGAGCCGTTTTCTGCAGACACGAACAGGCAGATTTTTATGAGGCAAGAATCAGAAGCGTTCACAGAGGGCAGGGGCCATGTGCACCGGGTCGTGTGTACATGTGTGTTACGCTTCTGGGAGCGTGCCTGGTGACAGTTTCACACATTCCTCAGGCCCCAGAGGCCCCTCACTGCAGCGGTCCCAGGGCGCCTGACTACCAGGAGTCATAGAGATTTGGTTTCGGGTGTGCAGACTTCCTGGGGGCAGGAAGGGGAGCTGTGTGCAAGTGTGTGGGGAGTCCGAGGCAAAAGACACGCGTGCTTTCTGTTTAGAGGGGATAGACAGTGGACAGACTTCTGCATACACACACACACAAGCATGCAACACACACACGCTGGGCTCCGCTGGAGGTGGGGTGAGTGTGCATGGCTCTCCCCAGTGTGGGAGAGAGCAAGGCGGCTGCGGGGTGGGCGTCTCTGAGCAAGGGAGGTTCATTTTCTGGTTATAAACACAGAATTTTCCATGAGCTGAGATATGGCGTTCCAGGAGGTGACGCCCGAGGGAGAATTGGAGAGAAGTGTGTGCGTGCGTGTGTCTCCTCTGATCTGCTGTCGCAGTGCTCTGGGAGGGGGAGAGGCCTCCTCGGCCCAAGGACACACACAGCCATTTTCTGTGAACCAAGACAGAGGGAATGCTAGCCTGCACTTGAGGGGCACATGTGGGCAGGAGGGGGCATGTGTGTGCGTGTGTGTGCTTGTGTGTGTGTGCACGCTCATGTGTGTTTTTCTGTTTGGAAAACAACAGGTCTTGCACGCACAGGGAGAGAGACTCAAGCCAAACACTTGATTTTTTTCTGCACCAGCATGTGAGCACACACACACACACACACACACACAACTTTCTGGTATGAAGGGTGAGTGTGTCTAGGGTGCCTTTTATAGAGGTGGCTATATGGTGGCTCTGCCTCCTCCCAGGGAGCTCCTGGAGGGCCACCCTGAGTGAAGGACATGTCCTGATGACACACACTGGTGGCCCAGGGGCAGAAGCCAACCAGGGGAAGAGAGCTGTTGGAGTGCAGGACCTTGACCAAGGGGTGTGTGTCCAGGAATGTGTCCAGGTCCATCCTCCAGCCTGGAGGAGTGTGGGCACACTCGGCATGCAGGGGACAGTGGAAGAGTGGGCATGGCTGCTCTGTCTTCCAGGACGAAGAGCCCCAGGAGACCCTCCCCAGGGGATAGAGGAGGCCTTGCAGGGGACCCAAAGAAAGCAGGAGGGAGAGAGGGGAAGAGTTTCCTGGCTTTCAGAGAAAGAGATGGTTGCAGACAGAGCTGTGCTCCCGGTGCCCACACACGTGTGTGCTGACCTTGTGCAGGGGCGTGGCTGAGCTTGCCAACACTCCGCGTGCTTCCTTCCCAGGTGTGAGTGGCCTGTGCACCGCTGAGCCTCAGAGACCTCTGCAGAGATGTTCCTCAGAGGCATAGAAGTCTCTGTCACCCCTCCCAGGGACATGCAGTATTTTGCACCAGGATTGGAGACTCTGCTTTCCTGCCACGTGCTTGGGTGAGGAGGGAAGGCATTTTCCATGTGTGGGGACAGTTTTTCCCATGTGGAGAGACACTACATATTCCCTCTCGTTTTAGAGAGGGGCCGACCAACACAGGAAGACCTTCCTCTCCACGTGCACTCGCACCTCCTGCACGGGCGGAGTTCCCGTGTGTCTGTCTCTCTGGTGCTGACCGAGGGAGCCAGGATTTCTGCCTGTGAGGAGGACTTGGGGGTCTCTCTGAGAGGGAGTGATCTTTGTCTCTCTGAACACACACACGCACGCACGCACGCACGCACGCACACGTGCGCGCACATGCTCTGCATGCTGAGAGACAGAGAACCAGTTATTTCTCAGGTGATGAATCCCTGAAGAAGGGAGATAATTTCTGTCTAGTTTTAACAACCAAGAGGGAGAATTTCCTGACAGAGACAGAGACTGAGAGACAGAGAAACACAGAGACAGAAACAGAGGCCAAGACACAGACAGAAACAGAAATAGGCAGAAAGATAGAGACACACACAGAGAGAGAAAGACAGAGGCACAGAAATAAGATGGACAGGCAGAAATACAGAGACAGATGGACTGAGAAAGACACACAGAGAAACAAAGAGACAGAGACCCAAAGACGGAGCAGAGACTGAGAGACAGGCAGAAATACAGAGACAGAAGAAACAGAGATAGGCAGAAAGGCGGAGACTAGAAAAGAGACAGAGACAAAAAGACAACAGAGACACAGAGAGACTGAGATAGAAAGAAACAGAGACAAAGGGAGACAGAGACACTCGGAGGCAGAAAGACACAGCCCTGACCTGCCTGTTGCAGAGGGAGCTTGGGACTCCAGGGAGACGCGTCCCCAGCAGAGAACACGTCCTCCTGCCTGCAGCAGGCCAGGCCGCCCTGCACTGCAACACCTGGGGTGGGCTCTCTCTCTCTCTCTCTCTCACACACACACACACACACACACACACACACACACACACACTTTCCAATGAGCTGAGAAATGGAAAAAGTGAGTGTGTGTTCCAGTCCAGCCCATTCTTATTTAAATAAAGACACATTTCTGCCTAGAGATAGAGCTGAAGAGAGAGGCACCCTTGGGGGTAGAGAGAGGGGCGCAGAGAGCTGGATACAGGCACAGGCATGGAGTTGGGAGGAGACAGAGAGGATAGAGAGACAGTAGGTAGGTAGACAGATGGACAGACAGAGGGGAGGGTCTCTGGCTGCGAGAGAGGCGCGCCTCAGCTCTAGCAGAGGCCCCGCGCAGCCTGGGCAGCCACTTCCGGTTCCCTGCCCTGCCCAGCCTGGACATGGCATGGGCGCCCGTCCATTGTTTCTTCGGGTCCCCTTTCATTGGCTGGAAATAGACCCGAGCACTGTTTCGCCAACCCTCACTTTTCTCCATGACTCTGGGAGCCTCAGCTCCTAGCTAGTGGTCCTTCCTGTGAGCAAAGGGCCAGGACATTGTTTGTTTTTTAGTTGCAGATGGACACAATACCTTTTATTTATTTATTCTTACTGGTGCTGAGGTCGTCTCCACACTGGGAGTCCCTGCACCTGCCATGGGCATGGAGCTGGCCCTGATGGGCTGGACCCTGGTGCTCACTGCCTTATCGCGCTCTACTCTTTGGACAGGTACCCAAGCTTGTGAATCAGCCCTGGGGCCACACTCACCCACAGCTGCATTCCCCGTGGCTTGCAGGGCTTTGTTGAACTTGGCTCTGAGGTCTATGCCCTCTAGTCCTGGTGGTGTCCCTTTGCTCCCAGGCATCACACTCCTGCCTGGTGACCTGAGTCACATTCCTTTCTCCCAGTTGCACAGAGGAGAACGGAGGGTCCCAGAGAAGCCGGGCAGCTGCTGGAGACCACCCTGTTCATAGAAGGCAGAACCTGGTATCTCTGAGCTTGGGATTGTCATTTGGGGGGTGGGACAGAACATTCACTTAAATTTGAACTTCTATTGAATAATGAATATTTTTTAACCATGCAATATTTGGGACCTACTTCTACTAAAAATTATTGTTGCTTCTCAGGAATTATAACTTAACTGGGAGCCCAGCAGTGCCTCCTCCTATGTGCTTCACCCTCCACTCCACTGAAGGACCCCCTGCCTTCTTCATTCTCCCATCCCACTCTCCCACCTGCACCCTTCTTCTTTCAAGGTCACAGAGTCTACGCTACCCCCACCCCTGCCTCTCGGGGCTGGGGAGGGGCAAAGACCCATGCTCCCAGGGGCAGGCGGCCTGGCCTTCTTGGACCTTGGCTGAGTCTGTGGCTTGGGGCTCTCCTTGCAGTTTGATGCCCCCAAGGTGCTCAAATAGGAAATTTGCATGTGGGTGGACCATGGGCGGCGACAGGGGACAGGTGATTGGAGGGATGGATGAAAGAGGGGCCATCTCCGGCCACAGGAAGTGGCAAGATTAGTAAGAGTTAGAGGTGAAAGGAGCCCAATGCTCAGGCTTTGCAGAAGAGGGGCGCCCCCATACCCCCTGCTTCTCGGAGCCAGGTGGATGATGGCCCCCATAGCTGATGATTCCCTCCCTGGTTTAACTTGTCCACATGCTGGTTGTTGGCTCGGAGGGTTGGTGCAGCCCCACCCTGGAGTCAGTGCCTCAGGGGACCTGGCTCCACAGACCCTCTGGCTCTGCCCTTTGCAGGCTCCATAGCTGACGCTGGCAGGATTTCAAGGAACCTCAGCAAGGCAGAGACACATTAATGAACTTTATTGTTTTATCAAGAACTTAAAATTGTAGTTATTGATGTGACTTCATTTTAATTGCTGTAATAAATATTTTTTTGTTAATTAGGATATATAGACATATACCATTTATTAACAAAACAATTTGTAGTAAAAATTGATGTGCGTTCCATTGGGCCTTCTCTGTACTTCTTGGAAACCCTATGAATGAACAACCCACAAACACTTTCTGAAAAAGGATCTGAACAGCCAGGCGTGTGGCAGTGTCAGGCCCTTCACCAGCATGGGGAGCCATGGAAAAGTAGAGAACCCTCTGGTTGGGCTGGAGTCTTCCTATCAATTCATCGACTATGTGCTCTTGGGCAAATTACTTAACCTCTCTGTGCCCCATTTCCTCATCTGATATTTAATAGTATCTACCTTTAGAAAGTGTCATTAGGATTTGCATGAAGAGGGCCATAGAGGCAGCTCAGCCTGCCTTTCTTCTGGTATGGAAGTTCTGACATTTCTGGAGGAATTAGTTCCCCTTATTGGTCCACATGCTTTGAGGGTTAGGGGTGGGGGCATACAACTCTGCTCATATCAGCCAGCTTGCTCCTGACCACAGTGATTGGTTGAGAAATGGGCATGTGAAGCCAATTGTCCAATCACAGCTGATCTAAGTCTTCTGTTTCTAAGATCAGGATGAAGGTGTGGTCTTCCGTTCCCTGTGGGTTTGCAGTTGCAGGGGATGCCTGGGCAGAGGGTCTCCACACCAGCACCTGGATGATCAAAGCTGAGACAGTTCTCAGAGTTCTGCAAAGATGCTGGGGCTGCTAGATCATCCGTACCTGAAGCTAGACTACCCCTTGGCTTTTCAAATATGTGAACCAGTAAAATCCAGTGTGAATTTTTCTTTCCTTGGGCAACAGAACGTCGACTAACATACACGCTTGGAACAATGCCCTATTCATGGGGGACTCAATAATCATTAATCAACAACAAATAAAACGAAATAAAATGTAAAATTTAAAGCAGCCCCCCAGTCTCCCTCACCTGAGAGCTCCACAAGGAGAGGTGGCCCCTGAAACCCGGGGAGCTTGGTCCTATCGGGACCAATGACCTGGACACAGAACAGATGACAGTTGAAGACCCAGTAACATCAAATGTGGAACTTAAACCTAGTTGTGTGAGTTGAGTGAGTTGAAAGATATCTCTGCACAAGAAATGGAGGTCAGAGCTGGCTGGGGATGCACGGAGGTTTCCTGAATTTTCTGTGGCCAAAAATACTGACTAGATATGACCTTCTCAGTTACTGCGCCCCCAGACCCCTGGGGAGATAATAGCCCTGGACCCAAGAGCAGCTTCTGCTCCCACTTTGCTGAAGCAGAGGCTGGAAAGAGCGAAGCAGTGACCATCCCTCCCCATAGCTCTTCTAGAGACTCCCACCACAGAATGGCCCCTTGCCTGGACATTGTCCTGAGGGGACCAGGGCACAGCTCCACAGGACACTTGAGACCAGAGTCATCGCTTTCGTTCTCACCAAAGTGGCCCGGCAGCCTGCCCATCACATCAGAAGGTAAGGTCCCCATGGCATACTTGTGCCCAACTTTTGGAGACCCAGCCCAGTGACTCCCGGTTGCCCCACACCACTGTCCCAGGGCAGTGGAGGCCCTTCATGTGTGACATGTGGCCTTCCTCTGACACTGTGGTGTGCACCCAACCTGGATTGGTTCTTCGATTCGTGTTTCAGCCAGGGAGTGGCTCTTCACGTTCCTAATACTCTTGGTGAAGCTCTCAGGGGATTATCTGTACCTCCCTGGCCAACCCTGCACTTCCCATGCACAGAGGAAAGGAGGGGCCAGTGGCCTGATTTCCATGGAACTGTGATTCCAGGGCAGTTGCTTTTCTTCTACCCCATCCTCCCCTTCCCTGCCACCAAGTCCCACTGGAGAAGCCAAGTTGCTGGTGGAAAAGAGGAGTACTCTAGAAATGGGGGGATCTAGATGTGGGGTGCTACTCCAGAGATGGGGGATAGCCACCAGAGAGCAAGAAGCCCCCTTGTCCTTTCATTGCCTGCTCAGAGATTATCATGCCCATCTTTATGTCTTCTCTTGTGCCCAGGAGGGGATTAGGGCCAGGGTACCTCTGGACTTGGCAATGGCTGAAGGACACTGCCATCTCCCAAATCCATGGCCCTCAAATGCAGCACCTGTCAGATTTACCTGTGGAGCCTGTTTTAAAAGTAAATTCCAAGGCCACACCTGAGAGTGCTGCTGAGTCAGGACTGTGAAATGGGCACTTTTAACACACACACTGGCTCAGAAGACATGAGGTTGGGAGTTGGGAGGTCCGACCAGAGACACAGGCCCTGGGGTTTGCCTTGTCCTGTGTCTCCTCTCAGGCTCCAGGGCATCTGTGAGCCTGGTTTCCCCTCCCACTGTGCTTGGCATGGTGGGAGACATGCATGGGCACACGAAGAGGGTCACCTGTCCACCATCTCCTGGAGACACAGGCCCTGGAGAAAGGGGCAGGTGTGAGCTCTCAGCTTCAGCCCAGAACCTACCTACATAGGGCTCCCAGGAGAAGGGCCTGAAACCAGGTCCTGAGCAGCTGGGCTTGGAGGCCAGGAGGGAGGACACCTTAGATGGTGGGGATAGCCTGAGGAGAGGCCTGGAGACTGATCGGGAAAGGCAGCCCTGGGAGGGAGAGGGCACACTGAACACAGTGTGGGGTATCTCCTTATTGGAGATGGGACCCTGGTTGGGAGGATCTGTGTCCAGCCTCGGACGCCCCACTGCACCCCACCCACTCCCCTGCCCACTAGGTGCACTGATCAAACCAGGCCTCCCATTGCCCTGGCCAGAAGCCAGCCTCCACTTGGGGCAGACAGAGAGCTCACCTTTCTCCAAGCCCTGCAGATGTCCATGGGCAGACAGAAAACACACCCCTGGACCATGGCATACCCCCGGCACAGCCACCGAGGGTCACCAGAGCTGGGGACACTGGGAAAGCAGTGAGGCTGGTTTCCGCCCTCCCTGGTGGGGAGGTGCAGGAAGGTGAGGCTCGTAGGCCACTGCCCAGCTGTGGGCTCTGCTTCCAGAAAGGGCCGCTTCTGAGAAAGGCCCTGGCTTCACACACCCCCTCCCAGTGCCAGGCTCCTCAGTGCCAGAGGCAAGCTACTCAACAGAACACTTAGCAATTAATTTGGTTTCCAAAATGCTGGTCAATAAATCACAGAGATGGCTTCCCAGAACAGCCTGTTCCTTGCACCCAAGGAGCTGCAGCACAGGGCCAGGTCTATGCACCAAAGCAAGCGCAGTCTACACGGGCCTGGATTCTGCCACCTCCTGGGCCTACATGCGCTCCATGTTAATCCCGTTACAGATGTGCATACAAGCACACGTATACATGCAGACATTTTTATCTTCACAAGAATAAATTATTTACCATGAAAAAGGTTGCAAACCTAATGCTGTAATTATGGGCTACGTCTGACCTTCTCAGTCACCTGCCAGGAAGAGGCAGGGTGGGCGGTTCTGCTACCAGACGGGTTAATTGACTCTTTTATTGAACTTGGTTATTAGCAGGCTCATCTTTCAGGGTCCCAAGTTGGCAGATGCAGGGATGAGACCACCCCACTTCCTATGAGGGACAGGGAAGTGCTGGGGAAAGGAGGTGGCTTTCCTGCCTTGGAGGTGACAGCTTGCCCGAGTACCTGGCACCCACCGGGTTTACAGCTGTTGACTTCCTTGAGTCTCTGCTCCACTAGGGCGCAAGCACCACCCCACCGCACCAGGCTTGCCTTGCTCCTGTGGGGTCTTCCGGGTACCTGTGTCTGGGGCTCACCCCTAGCCAGGGCCCTCCTCAGAGCCTTGGCCTGTCACTTGTCCCAAGAATGTCTTCTTCCCATGGGACACTGACCCAAATTGAATAGTTGACTATAAATCTGGCTCTCTCCAGCTACCTCATACAAGGAAAAGAGGGGCCCTGGGTTGTCAGCCTGGAGCAGAGGCCAGCAATTGGTGGGAAAGGTTGTTTTGGGGGGGCCCTATGGATACTGCCTCATGACCAGAGCACAGAGGCCTTCCCCTCTACTCCATATGACCCCACAGTTCCCCAGGGAGCAAGTGGAGCACATGTGATTCCCCATGCTCAAGGAGGGTAAGTGGCAGGGATGGCCAGAGACCACCTGGTTAGGGGGAGCCAGGCCTGGAGTTCAACCAACCCCAGTGCTGTCTCCAAGCAGGCGCTGACCTTCATTCCGCCTATCTTCATTCTGTCATCTCAAGTCCATTCTAGGAAGACATGCTTCATTAAGCTAGACCTGTCCTGGCAATCAGATCCACAGAATCTCAGCCTGGATGAGCCATACAACGTTATCTAACACCCACCGAGACCACACGCCCACCACTGTGGAACATCGTGGAACCACCACGGAACATCGGAAACCAACAGGCTGTGGAGCTGGTCTGGGCTAGCAATTGTCTTCTCTGGAACTCTCTCTGGTCCCTCCTATGGCACACCTCTCTGTCCTCCCTTGGCCACCTGGTTTGTGTCAGAGTCCTCTCTGCCTCCTGAAACCCCATCGGCTATTTGCCAACACCCTGGGTCTGTTTTGTCCCCAGCTTCCGGAGGGCAGCCACCAATCAGCCTGGGTTGGGTTGACTCTGATCCTCATCTTCTGCAGGACCTTGGGACACACTAGAACAGGACTCCGGGAGAGAGGAGCCTCCACACACATCCTTCCCCAGGAGGCAGACAAACCATCTTCCCTCAGGTCAGAAATTCTTTGTGATGTTCTGGCTCCAAGGACCTGATACCAACCTTCTGGTTAGGAGGAGACTCTCCCCATACCCATAATTGTAGCACAAAAGAAAAATCCTGGGTAGTAGCGGGCATGGGCTGAGGCAGTGTGACAATTTCAGTTGACCCTGCAGAGGATTTTGAAGAGGAAGCACACAGTGTCTATGTTCCTACAGTTCTGGGCTCTCCTCAGGACCATGGAAGCTGCAGAAGTGACCTGGGGCCTAATGCTGAGTCCCCAAAGGGTGCCCAGGGCCTTGGATTCCAAGCACAGCCCTTGGAAGCTCCTTTGTCTGCTCCTTCCCAGCACCAAGGCTCTACGTGGCCCAGTTCGAACTATCAGGAAGAAATGATGATTACCAGGAACTAGTGAAATCCCTAGAAGGGAGCCCAAGGTGGGTTCTCCACCACTATCGCCTGCAACCC